TCTCTCTCTCTCTCTCTCTCTCTCTCTCTCTCTCTCTCTCTCTCTCTCTCTTACACACACACACACACACTCACACGCGCGCGCGCACACACACATGGTGTCAATGCATGATTTGCCACTAATTTAGTGAAATTGAGACAATATAGAAATCAGACCTTATGAGATTGCATTGTTGCAGAGACTACACCACCAGTGTGAAAATTATATGCGTTGATTATTCATAGTTTTGTCATCTGTCATCTGAATGCAAGATAATGTAAAATTTTGGTAATTGATTACATCATACTTGGAATTTGTGTGAGTGGTGCAAGTGAATGAGTAAATATTTCCCAAATGTGTTATACTGTTTGGAATGTATGAAGAACTGCTATAATTGTTTGCGTTGAAATGGGCAAACGAGCACCTCAAGTTGATAGTAATATGCTCTCAACACCAGACGGCATTTAGTAGCTTCAACTCCTGAATGCAACAAATTTGCTATCCGTTACATCTAGAATTGTAGTAATAGGTTAGAGAATTAAGGTTTTCAATGATTTTTGTTTATGGAGTTCCCATTCCATGTGCTTTCATATTAATACTCTAATATATGCATTAGTTATATTAGACAATTATTGAGTAGCAGCCTAACTAATTGTTATGTTAATGCATGTCACACTCCCAGGTGAGCTTGCTGAGAGAATTTGGTGCCTTCACATCTACCATGTTTGTGGCTCCCATCGAATCTGTGGCACAAACTTTGCATGAACTACTGCTAATGAGGCATGACTATGACAGGCGTCGTTCAGATCTCCTGTCTTTATGCACTGCTTAACTGCCATGCCTCTTTGTTTTGGAGCTTAGTCTGCCCTTTAAAAGGCTGAAATTTTTTCTGTAGAGGTGGTGAAAGACAGTCCTCGGGAAAATATAAATCCATGGAGCACATTTTGAGCTGTATAGTTAACGGAGAGGTATTAGTAGGATGTGCATCTATACATATATAAAGCAAAAAGGTCTTTCTAATGAACGTGCTCCAAACCCTTACACTAAAATTTTATAATTTATATTTATTTATTGATGTGACATATTACGTGGTAGAGCTGTATCATTTTTTAGAATTTAAAATTTTATTATTTTATATTAATAGAAAAAACTGTGAAATTTATTATTTAGTAGTGATAATTTTTTTGCATTCAGAGTGATTCAGGTGTAGTGAAGCTTGAGCAATACCACTCAGACACTTCGGATCCTCTGGCTTGATGGCAGATATGTAATTATGGTATTTACTTGCTATTTCTTATGTATTAGGGTTGGAACACTCAGGGAACACCAAATAATTTCCTACTCCAACTGAAGTACCCCACACATTGGGGTGTAAATTTGGCCCGCCTAGCCTACCTGGACCCGGGTTTAGGCCGGCACATGTTAGGCCTTGTTGGCTCCTATTTATAATAATATGCAAATTTTGTTTTTGTAATAATTTAAAAAATATGAAATTATATTTGATGTGTTTGATTTTAGTTTTTTAATTTAATTTTTTCAAAACTGAATTTTTTGTTTTTCTTATTTTTTTGTTTTTAGTGAATATTTTTAAAATTTTAAATTTTTTTTTTATTTTTTTAATATGCATTTTACTTAAGTGTATCAAAATAATAAAATATTTGTGAAAAAATATTTTAAAACATTGATAAATACATAAAAATGTGAAAAATGTGCTGAATATTTATATATATATTTTTATATTTTTGGTATTTAGTGATTTTTATAAATATTATATTTTTAAAATGTATTTATGTTAGGTGTTCAAAAATTTTAAAAATTGCTTAAAATATTTTTAAAAATCAGTAAAAACAAAAAAAAATGGAAAACGAAGAAGTAAAATTTTTGAAAAGTGAGTTCTGAAAATTGAAACTAAACAGAGTGATTAATTTTTTTTTATAATTATAAGGTACATATAATTAGGACTACAAATGAGCTGAGCTTTGGGCTTCATTTGGAAAGTGGGTTGGTTTTTTGGCTATTTTATCCTGGGGTTAAAAAGCCTCGTTTGGGAAGGGGTTTTTTTGGTTTTTTTGATTTTGTGGGGAAAAGAATGTAATGATTATGGGCTGAATGTGATGTTTTATCTTATTGGGTTAAAAAATTTATTTTTGTCTTTTTGTTGTTATGGATTGGATGTGATATTTTTTTTTATTAGGCAAAAAAACTTATTTTATCATTTTGTGGCTAAAATGGCCCCAAACCCAACCCAACCCTTCTTCCCAAATGAAGCATTAGCCTCCGTTTGAGAAGTGGGTTAGCTTTTTGGCTATTTTAGTCTGAGCTAAAAAACTTAGTTTGGGAAGAATTTTTTGGCTTTTTGACTTTTTAAACTTTTTTTGTGAGAAAAGAGTGTAATGATTATAGGTTGGATGTAATGTTTTATTTATTGTGGCTAAAATAGCATATTTTATCTTTTGTGGCTAAAATAGCCCCAAACCTCTTTGCCAAAAGGATATTTAGTATGTTTGGGTTTATTTATTAAGATTTTAACGAATTCGAGTTTCAATAAAAATTTAATGAATCGAACTCGAGCTGAGTAAGTTGGCATAGAGTTGACTCAAACTCAAGCCTGTTCACGAGTCTTAACGAGTCAAAAATTTTATAAATTCATATTTGCGTATGAGACTAAAGTTACAATTAAAATTTTGATTATACAATTATATATACAATATGTATAAATATTTTATAAAAAAATATATATATTTTACCAAAATAATATCTACTATTACTATTATATAAATATACAATTTATAGTTAATTATTATTTATATTTATATTTTTTAAATATATAAATAACATATTTATCTGATTTTTTTATATTATTTAATATATAAATAATAAATATTAAATGAGTCAGTTAACAAGCCAAATTTTAGAATATGTGGGCTTGTTTATTAAAAATTTAATGAGTTTGAGCTCAAATATAAATTTGTTTTTAACGAACCGAGTTTAAAAGAGCTCTTATTGAATTGAGCTTGAGCTTGAACTTGTTCACGAACGGTTTTGTTCATTTACAATCCTACATCTAATATATACCTGAGAAATTGTAACCTACCCTCCTCCCTATGATACAGTTTCTTCACTGTCCAATCACAAATACCCTTTATCAAAGTAGGATCCACACACCCAATAAAATAGTAGAAACCAAATGGTGTTGGCCATAACGACTGAGATCTGAAGGTTTACTTCCTTTCAAATCTTACGAATTTCTTAGGCAGCAAATACATACCTTGGGGCTATAGATCGTAAGGCATAAATCCTGTTTCAGAAGACTTGTTCAGACTTAATCTGGTAGGTGTAAACTGGTTCAAAATACCCTACATAAAAAAAATAGTAAGGACATAAATGAGTTTTGCTTCTTCTCCTATTTTTTTTACGTTTTCTTACTTTGATTATATTTGTTAATTTAAATTATATATATAATTTTGTTAATATAATAAAATTAAAATATTATATTTAATAATTTACATATTTTAATTTCCTAGAGGCTCAAATCTTTCAAATTATGGTTAACTCTTGAGTGTAGCTTCAAGATTACCAAGTTCCCTAGCCAAATCTCTTCCTTAAGCTTCCTCTCTCACTAAATTCAGCTCCTTCTCTCTCTAGCTTTTTAAAATTAGTTACAACTTAAAAAAAAAATTAAGATTTGAGATTTGTAATAAAATAAATTTTTAATTTTTAAATTTGTTAATTTGAATTTGTATATTTTGCTTTATTTTTAATTTAAATCATTCGTTTATTTTTATTACGTAACATTGATAAAAAAAATAATATTTTAATTATTAAAGTCAATTTAAATATACATAAAAATTTGAAATATTATTTTTTAATTAATTTAACATAATAAAAATAGATAAATAATTTAGATTGAAAATAAATCAAATTTGATATTTAATTTGTAAAATTTAAAACTCAGGATTTAATTTGTGAAAAGAATCAAATCCTAATTTTTATTTATTTATAATTTCTCCTTAAAATTAGTATGCAAATAAGAGCTCGTTTGGAAAGTTGAAAGTTAAGATTTTTTAGCTAAAATAATCACAAAAAGATAAAATAATTTTCTTAGCTTAATAAAACAAAATATCACATCTAATCATAATTATTACATTTTTTTTCTCAAAAAAAATCATAAAAACCAAAAAATTCTTTTCAAACAAAAGTTTTTAACCACAAACTAAAATAATTAAAAGGTCAAAAAAATCAACCAACTTTCCAAACAGTAAAGTAGTAGATTGTTTTGATTATTGGAATCAAGTCACGATAAAATAATGTTTGATGAAAATCTCTCAGTCTTTTAGTGGGAACGAATGAATAAAAAAAAAAAAAGTCAGTCTAAAATCCCAAACATTGTTTCACACGCTCCCCAAAAGGCGCGTGGACTCTTCGCTGCCATTTATATGAGAGAGAGAGAGACAAAAGACAGAGGCCAAAACAGCCATCACCGTTCATTTGCTTCGGACACTTCGGTGACGGAACCCTCAATTTCATATATATATATATATATATATTTATACTCTCATATGTATGTATATATATTATAGATTTGTACGCCTGTTGTGTTGTGTGTGCCTAACATTTTCATTGCTTGGTAGACAACAATCAGCCCCCGTAATCATCGAGTTTTGATGTTCCGCCATGCAGAGCTTTCTAGATCTCAATTTCTGAGCTTTCTTTGATTTTATGTAAGAATTTCTAATACCCATTTCCCGATTACGCTTAATTTGCTTTCTATACATGCCTTTTCTGGATGTACGTTGATTTCTTACTGTTTAATCTCAATTACCCAACTCGGCTTTGCATCGATTTTCCTTCTTTCTAATCTTTATTCCTTCCCTGTTGAATTGGCTTCTCTTCCCTCCCTCTCTCTCTCTCTCTCTCTATGTTTATATATATTTTTGTGCTTGAAATATGGGGATTGTAAAAACTCATTTTTTGGTGATTTGCATGTGATTTGGTTAACTCGTGCCATTGGATGGTCCTTTGTGGTGGAAAAGATCCATTATTGGGGTATTTGAACAGTTCTGATAAGTCTCTATTGAGTTTAGTGATGTTTGTGATTTATGACTTGGGTAAAGACTTTAATACATGCTTCTTTTATGGCTGGGATATGACTTTACTGTATCAGTCTTTTCATGTTAGAAAATCAGCAAAGAACAAATTGAAAATTGGACTTGAAAAATAAGGTTAGTACTGTTCAAATTGAAATCATAGATACTAAAGTAGTGAAATTTGGGTCAAATTACCATGGTGAAAAATTGTAATTTATCCTTTAGAAAATTTGGAGTATGCATGGTCATTCCATGGCTAAGATCTTCGGTGTAATCATGTTTGGGGCTACATTTAGTAAGTTGACACTTTGCTTATAGCATGATCATCCTTTGGAGATGTATTATGTAAAAATATACAGATTATGACTTTGCTTCTTTTGATTTTATTCAATATTTTCCCCTCCCATTGCAGGCATATGCAGTATTTTAGAAGACACTTGCAAATGCTCTATATCAGGGCTTAGTTGTTAGAAGAAATAATTGAATTTTAGGGGTATGAAGAAGGCTTTGGATAGTAATTTTTGAAGACATTTGCAGTGTGGTAACTTTTGAAGATATGCACAGTGCAAATGCTGTTTAGTCTATACCTATGTCAGTGGGACTTCTGTTGTGTTTTCATTTTAATGAATTCATAGGTTTTATAGGCATAATTTTGAGTGTCAAATTTTTCATGTGTTGTGTTTTCTTCTGTATCTTTAGAGAAGTAACTATAATTTGATTTACCTTCCTTCTGTTGTAGGTTTCAAGTATCGTTATACATCCTAGGCTAACACATCAATTGACTAAACATCTGTGCCGGCTTGTTGGAGCAGGAGGGGGAGAAAATGGAAGCACGCCCTGCAAGACATCTCAGCACCCTTGGAGCTTATGGAGCTCTTTCATCATCCTTACCTGTTCTTCCCTCCACCTTGGAAGAGAAATATCCGAAGTTGCCCAACTCTCAACAGGTTTGGATGGAGAGGGAACTTAACACAAATTCTCCGTCTCTTCATTCTTCTTTTCTCTCGAACAGTGGGGTTGTTGGTCCTATCTTCTCATCTACCTCAGGATACTTCAATGATCTTCATCTTACTTCCTTTGCACCTCCTGAAAAGCATTCAAGAAAGTCACCCTTTATTTCTCAGTCATCAAATGCTGGGGCATCAATGCCACTAGCTCCTTGTCATTCTAAGATGCTCCAATCTACGGCATCGAGCAAAAGTGATTCCTGGTGTACAGATTCATTACCAGATTTCTTTGATTATCCTGTAAATACTTCTAGCAGCAAAATTCAAATAGGAAGCAGGGTTAATGGTGGTTGTGCCATGGCAACTGAAGACCTTAGTAAACGAAATGATTGGCAGGATTGGGCGGACCTAATAAATGATGATGATTCGTTGAATTCTAGTTTGAATGGACTTTTTGTTGATAACAATGCTGAAGATCCTGAGCTTAAGGTTAGAATCTCCTCAGGAAACAAGACTCTTAAGAAAGCATTTCACGTTTTTCACACATTTATTTTTATTAATAAAATGGAAAGTGTGTTAAGGCTTGCATGATTTGTATTGTTGTGTCCTTATTGTGTTATTGTAGGTGTTAATAAAAGAAATGACAAATTATTCGGAACAACAGTCCGAAGTACTCCAGCAGATTTCAGTTCCATCTGAGGAGTCTCCTCGTGCTCTTCCATCTGAGGAGTCTACTCGTGCTCTCAACTCTACATCCTCAGCAAGTGGTGGTCCAACCAAAATGCGCATGCGCTGGACACCTGAACTTCATGAGGCCTTTGTTGAAGCAGTCAATAAGCTTGGTGGCAGTGAAAGTATGTAACTCTCCTCACCTTACAGTACTTCTTAACCTCATTTGCCCCTAAAAATATGAGACAAGTCTTTCTATTGACCTGTTTGCTTTGAACTACAGAAGCTACTCCTAAAGGTGTACTGAAGGTAATGAAAGTTGAAGGTTTGACAATTTATCATGTGAAGAGCCACCTGCAGGTGCTTTTTTTTTTTCCTTTTCTTCTCATTCTTAATCTTATTTTAGTTATCTCAGAATTTGGATTGTTATTTGCATCATTCACCTGGAAAATTTACTTGCTGAATCGCAGAAGTATAGAACAGCTAGATGCCAACCAGAGTCATCATCAGAAGGTAAACAAGAATAACTTCTTGATATTCATTTTTTGTCTACTTAGTTTATTGCATCAGCCTCTTTGTGTTTATGCTGTGATTCCTTTTCTTCTATGATTTCTGTACAACAGTGGTTATGATATTGTATGCTTTGCTGTTGAAGCATTAGTTGGCACAGTATGAAATGTATAAAACATCAGCCTATTTTTTAGCAAATGACCTCTTAAACTATAAACAGAAGTTGAAGGCCTTCACTTTACTGGATAATAAATTTACAACAGGTTATCGATCTTTCCAGCTGTATGGTTTTTTCAATTATGGGCCTTCAAATTATTTTGTGTTGCAATTCTAAGTGCCCTTCAAATTATTATGTCTTTTTTGTCTCACTAAAGATTACACAAAAAAAATGCAAAGTTGTCCTTTTTGGTTCCGTTTCTGTTTTTCAAAACTTCAGTGATTCAGTTTGTATTTTATTGTGATTATTCATCTCCCTGTTTGCTAAGTTTGCCTTCCCTTTTTTGAAACTTCCTGTGTGATGTAGATCTTTAACATACTAATTTCTTATATTATCTTTCTTTTCACCTATTCACCATGTTATTGGCTATTGTTGTGATGCTTATGGTTGTGTATTTCATGGGTACTCAAGTCTCAGTACTGTCATGAAATGCTAATTGTCTTTGCATGTCAAGTCAACTTCTTCCCCTTAGACTTCTTTTTTTTATTTTTTACTTTTTTCCCCTAGCTCAAATTTCTATGCCTAAATCGAACTTATCATTTGGTAGTTATTTTGACTCTTTACCTTATGGACCTAATAATAGTGAAAAACTGTAAGAGCTGCGGCAGTACCACATTAAGTTGGTCATTTTCTTGATTTGCAGGAGCTTCAGAGAAAAAGTTGACCTCCATCGAGGAAGTTGCATCTCTGGACTTGAAAACGTAAGTAGATTGACTTGGATGAACTTAGGCATATATCTATCTTGCAACGCAGCCTTTTCTTCTTGTGCTGGAAGGGATTGCATTAGATATTGTACTTCTTAGAAGTATTGATGCATTTGGTAGTTGTGACTCATTTAGATTTGCAGAGACTGTCTTGCACCTAATGGTGCCTGGATTATTGAATTAACTTAGACCTGCTTTTACATAAGTAGTAAATAATGTGAAAATTAAATGTTTTGATATTTTGACTTGATTATGGTGAAGGTTAGAGGTGATGTGCAGTTTTATGAAGTTGGGAAAAGATAATTTTTATTAATAAGTTTTTCTTGTCTCAATTAAGTAGCTCCTCTTTCCATCTTAAGTAGCTCAAGTAGTTTACACAAATTTCTTGGTTAAGATTGGGGGTGCATTGTAGCTTATGGAATTATTTCACCACTGATGGCGATACGCTCTACTGACCTGTTACTGCATACCACTGTTTTGATTTGCATTGCCTTGCATTTTAATTTTTTTTACGAGTATTGTCTCTTTTTTTTAAAAATAGGATTTTGGCACACACACACACGCTCTCTTTCTTTTTCTCTCAATGCCTTCGAAGCTTTTTACCTCTTGATGCAATAGATGACATTCAGTATCAAGTTGTTTCCATATGGATTGCTAGTCTGGATTTATTCAGACCCCTTAACTTATATGTGGGCAGGGGTATTGAGCTCACTGAAGCATTACGATTACAGATGGAAGTCCAGAAGCGCCTGCATGAGCAGTTGGAGGTATGGATTTGTTTATCATAAACGGATTTTGTTTTTATCTGAGTTGTCACTTCTTGATCCTGATTGCAATTTACTGGAAATGAAAATAGTTGAAAAATGTTGTTGGTCCCACTATTAGATCTATTTGAAGCATGCATGCCTTGAAAACCAACTGCTGGGGTTTGTTTTGGCCAGTTTTAATAGTTAGGCACAACCAATGAAATTACAGAAATCAAGACACAAGGTACCTTGAATTCACTGCTTCATTCCAAACTAGATTATTATTTGACCTTGCTTTCGTTTCTCTTTCCAGTGTTTAGCAGTTTTTTAGGTCATGGATTTCCTTTTTGTTTCACTCTGGTACTCATTTGGTTAGCCATCTCTAGTTGCGCACACTCTCCTTATTGAGTACAAAATTTTAAAAATAAAATAAAATTCTTGAGCCATTGAAGATAAATTTATAGGTAGCCTACCTTATTTTTTCCTTTTTCTTAAAGAATCTCATACTTCTTCCTCAAGCAAGAACCCCTTTAGTCCATATAACATAGAGCGATTTTTTTCAACTTTAAAATACCATAGCTTCCTTGGATGTCCCAGGCAAATGGATGTTTATCATTTAGTCATTAGAAATTACCATGGGATGGCCTTGCTTTTGATAAGGAATCCTACTGCTTGGTTGTTCGAAATCAAGAGCCCATTGACTAGTAGAAAATGATTTACTTCTGAGTGCTGCTGCAATCATGATTGTTTTGGAAACTGGTGGCTCTTGTTGCCATAGGCATCTATTACTTATGGAGACTGATGTTTTTAAGTAACATTTTTTTGGGGGGCAGATTCAGAGAAATCTACAGCTGAGAATAGAAGAGCAAGGGAGATACCTCCAGATGATGTTTGAGAAGCAATGCAAAGCAGGTGACATGCTGAAGGCCTCATCATCGTCCGCCCCCACCCTGGAAAACCCCTCTGCTAAGACAACAGCAGATGCAATCCCAAGTTCCATTGCCAAAGATGTATCAGAAAGTGAAAATGATAATACCATCATGGCATCATCAGTGCAAGCTTCCAGGAAGATGGGAGAGAAACAAAAGGCGCCAGAAAGCAAGGCTTCTGAGGATCTCGAGGCAAATGACGTTGTGGGGTCAAGTTCCAGACCCTCAAAGCGCGCGAGAGCAGATGAATAAGCCCATATCATGTGCCATAGTAGGACAGTAGGATAGACTTCCAGCTGAATGATATAAAGAGATTTGGAACTCTGATGTTCAGATTTGCTTGCTCACTCTCTCTCTCTCTCTCAAATTCTCAGCACATGTTTCTAGAGTTTTTGCCTTCTTTTTTTTTGTTTTAGTTATTTATTTTTTAAGAAAGGATTAATTCTGCAAAATTTCAATTGGAGAATGAAACAATCTTATTTTTGACAAAAAAATGGAGTATTTAACTGAGGTCTCAACTGTGAGCATTTTTTATCATTTTTCTTTCAATTACTGAAACAGAGGTAGTTTGGTGTTAATTCATCAACTGAGGCTTTTGTGGTTGCCCTGAGATCAACATTTCTCCTGTGTTTGGATCTTAAGTTATGTGATAGAAACTATAGTCAAATTTAATGCTTTGTCTGTTTGGGCGAAAAATATTCTTTATATTTTTTGGTGTTTGGTATAATAGAAAATGAAAATCAACAAAATGCAAGTTTATTTGGACATTAAAATATTTTTCACCTTTAAAAGGTGAAAAATAGTTTTTGAATTAAAATTTTATCGATGTCATCACTCTACTACTGCTATTATCACCTCCACCATCACCACTAACACTACTATGTCTTCGTTTGGGATGTGGGTTGGCTTTTTACCTTTTTGATTATTTTATTTTGGAGTTAAAAAGTCTTGTTTGGGATAATTTTTTAGCTTTTTGGCTATTTTAGCCAGGAGCTAAAAAGTCTTGTTTGGAATAGGTTTTTTAGCTTTTTTGACTTTTGTGAGAGAAAAAATGAAATGATTGTAGTTCACATATAGTATTTTGTCTTATTGAATTTTTAGTTTATTTTGTCTTTTTATGGCTATTTTAGTCTAAGCTTTTTATGCCAAATGAAGCCTACATTAGTTTCAAAGACTCAATCAAATATAGGAAAACGAGAATAAAATGAACCTTTGGAGAATTTTGTAGCTTGGTAAAAACAGTATCTGGCCTTTGCTTTCCTTGATGATACTTTGCTACAATGGTTCTCACAAGAATTTGGCCACCTTAATTTGACTTTTACTAACAATAAAATATAAAAATGAAAAAGAGATTTTTTTTTGTGTGTGTATTTCCCCACGCTTCATAAGGGTATGAATTCATGAAGTGGTGTCTCAAGCTGCTGCAGTAGATATGGGGGATATGTAGGGATCATCAAATAGTGCATATGTTAATTTAGGACTACCATCAGAAAGTTGTGAAGTCACAGTCGTTGTTAGGAGGTGTTTGTTTGATGATAGTGAATGCTTTTGCTATTCCCTTAATTAAATATTTTTCTCATTCTTTTACTGCTGTCATTGTTGTTAGAAATGTGAAAATGGTAGTATAATATCATGGAATTTTTGAAACTTGTATCTTGGTTGGTTGTTGAGTCATGAGACTCTGCAAACCACACAATTTTGGTGTGGATATTAAAAGTAATGCATAGTAGAAAAAAAAATTTTCATTTACATTTCATAGAATATGGTTTGTGTTAATGTTTTTGAATTGTTATGTTTTTCTAGTATTTGGGAGTGGGTTATGTATTATACATGTTGGAGGATGCAAGGCGTTTGTATAATTGTGTGTGAAGGGTTAGCGGTTAGATTGAGAATTAGAGACCTTTGGCTTTGGGTTGAAGCCATTTGCTAATAAGGTCAATACCCTTATTTTATAAGGCATCTGAAATATATACTCTGAAAGAGTGGCATAAGGATCAAGCAAACAATCTGTCTATCCCCTCCCTCTTCACCTACTATTTGCATTTGACGTCTCTTCCAATCAAACCTACGACCCTCCAACTATAAGTTGGTGGAAGATCAACACATACCCATACTCTCTCTCTCATCCCATGAAGACCCTTCATTAAAACCCCTCGTACCCATCTCTGTCTCTCCTCACAAGCCCAGTTTCTTTTCCTTCTCTTTGCTTTGCCATGGCTGGAGGAGGTTTAGTTGCAGGCTCTCATGGCCGCAATGAACTCCATGTTTTGCATGGCCCGGACGAGGTATATATATCCGGTTTTCATTCCTTTTTCTTTGATTTTCTTGTATGTTTCTTCTTATTGAATGTGACTCCTCTTCTTGTTGTTGTTTGGCAGCCTCGGTCTCCGGCTCATGGGTCTGTAGCAAAGATATGCAAAGTTTGCGGAGATGAGATTGGACTCAAGGAAAATGGTGAGCCGTTTGTGGGGTGTCATGAGTGTGGGTTTCCGGTTTGTAGGCCCTGTTACGAGTATGAGAGAAGTGAAGGGAACCAATGCTGTCCTCAGTGCCACACTCGCTATAAGCGTCACAAAGGTCAGTCATTAATCATTAAATAGTCTCGGAGTATAGTCTATTTCTTTCCCTCTTTGGATATTAATAATAATAAGTTGATTGTACAATGAACATGAATGCAGGCTGTCCTAGAGTTGCAGGGGATGATGAAGAAAACTTTGATGGTGAGGATTTTGATGATGAATTCCAGATCAAGCAGCATCCACATGATACCACAGATCCTCAGCATGCTGCCCTTCACTCGGTAATTAATTTGTGATATGATTCAATAATAAGTGAAATTATTGAAATGCATTATCAACCGAATAAAACTAAACCAACTTGACGGCCTAGATATTCTCCTATAAGATGAATAACATGACAAAAATTATGAGGTGAATTGAGAATTTTAGGTCAAATGATTGTTCTATGTTTTATTTATATTTTTCTTAGAAAGTGGTGGTCTTTATTATTGAGTGAATACATGATTACGTTATATTCTCACAAAACTAAATAAATGTTATCACGTAGAGTAAAAGTTGATAATTTTATACTTGACGGAAGTTTTGGAGGGTAAAAAACTAAACTAAAGTTGTGAATTGTGCAGGAAAATGGGGACAATAATCAATGGCATAACAACGGCAATGTTTTTGCTTCTTCCATTGCAGGAAGTGGTAAGCACAGCACACACACACACACTAGTTTTTCAATCCTACTTTTTTTGTTTTTATAATTTATTTTGTATCCATCAAGTGTCTCATTATACTTGGTTTGATGTGTTTATATGTAATTGTAGTAGTAGGGAAGGAATTTGAAGGAGAGAAAGAGACATATACGAATGAGGAATGGAAAGAGAGAGTTGAGAAATGGAAAACCAGGCAAGAGAAACGAGGCCTAGTTACCAATGATGATACTAATGGAGGGAATGACCAAGGAGATGAAGATGAATACCTGTAAGTTGTTTTGTATTCTATTCTTGTTTCTCCTTCAATATTTGAATATGAAAATTTTCGTATTTCAATAATTTTTTTAAATTAAATATTTAATCATGTGATTACAATTATTTAATTAATCTAATGTTTTACATAAATTATTTGGATAAATTTCAATTTAGTGTAAGTTTTTTGTTTTAAAAGTATCACTAAAATATAATTGTCAAATGCCAACATCCCCTCACTCATGAAAAGAGGATGAATTTCTCTTAAATCAAAACTTGAGAAAATTTAATAGACTTGTGAGATTTATTACGGATTTTATTTTGATAATTTAAATCGTTTATTTTGTAAGATTATCAATATATAAATGATTTTTTATTTTATTGCGTTTGTGTCCTAAAAAATAAACAATAAATATATATATTTAAAAAATTATTTTTTTTAAAGTAATTAAAGTAATAATATATCAACACAAAAAATACACTAAATAAAATGAAATGTGAATTTTATATTTTAAATTAAAAAATTATTATTATTTTTCATTCCCATATCATTTTGAAAAAATTCTACATAAAAAATAATTTTCTTACTAAATAATTTAAGTGGTGTTTGGCAAGTGGGTTAGGTACAAGAACAAGAAAATGATGGGCAAGAACTCATAAAAAATAATTTTCTTACTAAATGATTTAACTGGTGTTTGGCAAGTGGGTTAGGTTTGAGATTAAAAAAAATAAAAAGTACAGAAAAGACAAAATAAGTTAAATAAATTAATAAAATAAAATATTATATTTAAATTATAATTTTTCATAATTTTTTTTTTAAAAAAAGTTAAAAGATCAAAAACAAATTATTTTCAAACAAAACTAATTTAACTAGGTTAAATTAATAAAAAAAATCATGCTAAAACAGTTGTTTCCAAACTCATGATCCAGATTAGCAGAAGCGCGGCAACCCCTGTGGAGAAAAGTCCCGATCCCGTCAAGCTTAATAAACCCGTACAGAATCGTGATCATCCTCCGCCTCATCATCCTCGCATTCTTCTTCCGATTCCGAATCCTAACCCCAGCCTACGACGCCTACCCTCTCTGGCTCATCTCCGTCATCTGCGAGATCTGGTTCGGCTTCTCATGGATTCTCGACCAGTTCCCCAAATGGTTCCCCATCACTCGCGAGACCTACCTCGACCGCCTCTCCCTCCGCTTCGAGCGCGACGGCGAGCCCAACCGCCTCTCTCCTGTCGACTTCTTCGTCAGCACCGTCGATCCTCTCAAGGAGCCTCCCATCATCACGGCCAACACCGTTTTGTCCATCTTGGCCGTCGATTATCCCGTCGACAAAGTCAATTGTTATGTCTCCGACGATGGGGCTTCCATGTTGTTGTTTGATACCATGGCCGAGACTGCTGAGTTTGCCAGGAGGTGGGTGCCTTTTTGTAAGAAACATAGTGTGGAGCCGAGGACGCCCGAGTTTTACTTCTCAGAGAAGATTGATTATTTGAAGGATAAGGTTCAGCCCACTTTTGTCAAGGAGAGGAGAGCTATGAAGGTAACTACTACTACTACTACTTCTCTGATTGATTTGTTTAAACATTAAATTCAATTTAGGGAAAAAACAAAAAAATGTGTCTTGGATTGGAAAGACTGCATTTTGAACAAATGGCTGTCTAAGAGAGGTTGAGGTTGTTGATTTGCATTGCAGAGAGAATATGAAGAGTTCAAAGTGAGGATAAATGCATTGGTGGCAAAAGCTCAGAAGAAACCAGAGGAAGGATGGGTCATGCAAGATGGTACCCCGTGGCCTGGAAACAACACTCGTGATCATCCTGGCATGATTCAGGTTTATCTAGGGAGTGGAGGAGCACTGGATGTCGAAGGTAAGGAGTTGCCAAAGCTTGTCTATGTTTCTCGTGAGAAGCGACCTGGCTATCAACACCACAAGAAAGCTGGTGCAATGAATGCTTTGGTGAGTTTTAATTAAATTGGAATTTTGGATTATTAATGTTGTGAGAGTAACTGTACTGATTATTTTGCGAATAATATTATTGCTAGGTTCGAGTGTCTGCAGTTCTTACAAATGCACCCTTCATGTTGAATCTGGATTGTGATCACTACATCAACAACAGCAAGGCTGTAAGGGAAGCTATGTGCTTTCTGATGGATCCCCAGCTCGGAAAGAAGCTCTGTTATGTCCAGTTCCCCCAGAGGTTCGATGGCATTGATCGTAGTGATAGATATGCTAATCGCAATGTCGTCTTCTTTGATGTGAGTAGTTTCAGTACTTGTTTCCATATAACTATATATATATATATATATTTTTGGTTATGGGTGAGTACATAAAATTGTTGTTAAAATTTTCCAGTGTGAAGCTAATGCATTCAAATATTAATTTTTTTTGTTAATGATTATAGATCAACATGAAAGGCCTAGATGGGATCCAAGGGCCGGTATATGTTGGGACAGGATGTGTTTTCAACCGGCAGGCATTGTACGGTTATGATCCCCCAGTGTCTGAGAAGCGGCCAAAGATGACATGTGACTGCTGGCCTAGTTGGTGCTGCTGCTGTTGTGGTGGTTCAAGGAAGTCCAAATCAAAGAAGAAAGGAGTGAAAGCTATGCTCGGCCTTGGAGGCATTTACAACAAGAACAAGAACAAGAAAATGATGGGCAAGAACTACACCAGGAAATCATCAGGACCCGCCTTTGATCTGGAAGACATTGAAGAAGGGCTTGAAGGCTATGATGAGTTGGAAAAATCATCACTCATGTCTCAAAAGAAGTTTGAAAAACGGTTTGGCCAGTCACCAGTTTTCATTACCTCCACCCTCATGGAAGAAGGTGGCCTTCCTGAGGGGACTAATGGTACTTCACTTATCAAAGAAGCCATTCATGTTATCAGTTGTGGCTATGAAGAAAAAACTGAATGGGGCAAAGAGGTGAGTACAATTTCAGTGCAATTTAAAGCCATAAATGTATGAATTTTATTACAATTTTTTCAATAGTTAGGTGGGTTTTTTGATGGATTTGTTTTGTTTTCGACAGATTGGATGGATATATGGTTCGGTCACAGAAGATATTTTGACGGGTTTCAAGATGCATTGTAGGGGGTGGAAGTCAGTATACTGCATCCCCAAAAGACCGGCTTTCAAGGGATCGGCTCCAATCAATCTATCAGATCGGTTACACCAAGTTCTGAGATGGGCTCTTGGTTCTGTTGAGATTTTTCTCAGCCGTCATTGCCCGCTTTGGTATGGATATGGGGGCAAGTTGAAATGGCTAGAGAGGCTTGCTTACACTAACACCATTGTTTACCCATTCACTTCCATTCCTTTACTTGCCTACTGCACAAATCCCTGCTGTCTGTCTTCTGACTGGAAAATTCATCATCCCTACCGTAAGTAATACGTACTAAAGCTTTTTTCGAACATAAATTGAAGAATTTTCAAAATGTTTCTAATCAGGCTTTACTTTTATGCAGCTAAACAACTTTGCTAGCATATGGTTCATGGCTCTTTTCCTCTCCATCATAGTAACAGGCGTGCTTGAGCTGAGGTGGAGCGGTGTTAGCATTCAAGATTGGTGGAGAAACGAGCAGTTCTGGGTTATCGGCGGTGTCTCAGCCCATCTTTTTGCCGTCTTCCAAGGCCTCCTCAAGGTCCTCGCTGGAGTTGACACCAACTTTACTGTGACAGCTAAAGCAGCCGAAGATGCAGAGTTTGGAGAGCTCTATCTCTTCAAGTGGACCACCCTACTCATCCCACCAACCACTTTGATAATCATTAACATGGTTGGTGTTGTTGCTGGGGTCTCCGATGCCATCAACAACGGGTATGGTTCGTGGGGTCCTTTATTCGGGAAGCTGTTTTTTGCCTTCTGGGTTATTGTCCATCTCTATCCATTCCTCAAGGGCTTAATGGGGAGGCAAAACAGGACTCCGACGATTGTCGTGCTTTGGTCTGTACTTCTAGCTTCAATCTTCTCATTGGTTTGGGTTCGGATTGATCCTTTCTTGCCTAAGCAAACAGGTCCAATCCTTAAACAATGTGGAGTCGAGTGCTAGTGCGGTCAGTCCTCACATTCACAATTTTCTATTCGGTTTCCAACACTTTTGTTTGGTTTGTTTCTTTGTTTTTTATGGGGCATATAAGAGAGTGATGTGTATATGATTGTATGAGGCTTTTGCTACATATTTGCTAGCAGTGAGCCAAATGAAAGTTGTCGCTATTTTACATTTGTCAAATATAAGAGATGCAATGTAACATGGCTTTCAATGGCACTTGACAAAGTTGTTTTTGTTCCACTTCACGCTCACAATTTTGTGATATGAGATTTTCACATTCTATCTGTAAGATAAATTGATAGAGAGAGATATAGAGAGAATGAATTATGTATTGATGTTATTATTGATTGATTTGTGTATTATGTATATTACAAGGATTCCTATTATATAGGAGAGGATTTGGGAGTAGGTGAGGAGTAGGTGTAGGTGGTAGTGGAGGTGGTAGGTGGAGTGGGTGGTAGTGGAGGTGGTAGGTGGAGTGAGTGGTAGTGGTAATTTACATTTACACAATTTACATTAACAGCCCCCCTCAAACTCAAGGAGGATAGGCACTAGCCAACTTGAGTTTGGAGAGAGTCACAAAACAGAAAAATAAACTGATAAATAAAATAAAACAGGATAGGAGACACGGTATGGTCGTGTCAGACAGTTTACGGGGTCATGTCGGACCGTTGTAGCAGACACTGTGTGGTCGTGTCAGACCGTTGTAGAAGATAGTTTAGGGGGTCATGTCGGACCGTTGTAGCAGGACAGTTTACGAGGTCATGTCGGACCGTTGTAGCAAACACTGTGTGGTCGTGTCAGACCGATGTAGAAGACAGTTTATGGGGTCATGTCGGACCGATGTAGTGGTGCACCAAGG